CCCAGGTATTCAAAAGTTGGTCCCACGGTATGACAAATGTCTCAATTCCGGTGGCGAATATGTTGAAAAATAGCTGGACACTTGCTGTATCTGTTGCAATAAATATTTCCATGAAATTGTGTTTTGTTTCTGTAAACGGCCCCAGGGAAACTTACTTTTGGGACGCGCCTCGTAGTTTGAGAAATGATGTATGTGACTACTAAAGATTTCTGTTTCTTGCAGCATTCTTTACCTCAGTGCATCTTTGTGGAAAGAGAGGCTGAGGAATCTGGTTCATGCCCCTCATCAAGTTTCAATGAAGAAGACATCAGTGGTTTCGATGACTACGATTCCAGTTTTGTTAGTGAGTCGGGTAACCAGACACACACTGATATACAAGCCAAATTTCTTCATTCTATCATACGGTATGTCTTGTTACTGGCTGCCAGTCTTAACCCCTGAACCACTTTTCTTTTATCTTCCAATTCTTGCATTATCTATATGTTTATGTTTTCATTTTCATCAAGTTTTAACGCATTGCCTCTGCTGGATGCCTTTTTAATACCTCTGTATCTCTTTTTGTTATATTGTAACAGGCGCATGTAACATCTGAAAATCTGGAGGTTTCTCCCTTAAACCACCTTACATGGAAGAATTCATTACATTTGGTCGCTGTGAAAACTTCAGATCATACATCTGAAAATGATCAATATGCACAATCTTCATCTCTTTCTCCCTAATTTTAGTTAAATATATTATAGGATGGCATTATAATTTTAAAAATAATGCAGGTAGGGCAGTGTTTATTTCTTTTTGAGCCAGTTATTATTTAAATGAAAGTAACAAAGATTAATTCAATGCACTTGATATAGCATTATCTGAACTGGCAAGTTAAACAAAATGTTCATGCTTACATAACACAGCACACCACATATTAAAAGCTGTGCATTACGTGAAAAAGTACTGGCCAGTAAACTAATTATCTCAGTACGACAAACGTTTGTGGGCTGATGAATTATATTCATAATAATGAAATTTTTTCATTGAGAGGCAATAGATATGAACTAATGATGTAAGATTCATTGTTTCTATGGAGGTCATTGCATTTTTATTGAATAAGTGAGTGTGAAAACAGTAGTTCATTCTACTTTTTCAATGGAAACTAGAAAGATGAAGTTAACATTTACTTGGATATGTAAATTATCCTTTATCAGTTGTGTGTCAAGGTTATGTGCATTCCAGCTGGGCCGTATGTTACAGTAGCATTCTGGTAAAATCTTTAACCCCAAATGTAAAATTCAGCCAGCAGCTCCATTGTACATTAGTTTAAATTCCCTATTCCCATGTGATCTTGCCATTGAAGTATTTTGATGAAATTTAGTATGATCATGCCATAGGGGACATCCTAGAGGCAGATTTTCATGCGACTCAGTGACAACAGGAGCTGCTTTTCCATCTCTTTCTTCACAATTTGTTGTGCCACCTTAGTGATCAGGTTCCTGATTATCATTGCCTGTGTCACTAGGGTTCCACTTCTGAAATATTTTTATCCATGCAATCCAAAATTCCAATATTGACAGTATTTGGCATCATTAGTTGCTTTATTCTGCCCCATATTGCAGACCAGAGGGTTTAGGGAAGCTGAAATAATTTTTGACTTGCTTTCTTTCTAGTAAAGATTGTAATGTCATACCTTTATCTTACAGTTTATTAAACTTATTTCTAGACATGCAGCAATTTGTATGTTTGTGACATCTAGGGCACATTTAATAAAATTTTGGAAAGAATTGGTAGTGTTTTTTTAATTTGTTTCTTGCAGTGGTGGGGAGGATAAATACGACAGTCTTTTGGGATATTACGTCAAGTTTTCTGATAGAAGTTATCAGATTTTATAGAGGGGGTTTCTTCTTATTCTTCTATGGCTCTCCGGTCCGTATTTGGTCCATGGCCTCCTCAGTTCTCCTCTTCCATTCGATCCTATTGTTAGGTTCATTCTGTCCGAGGTTTTGATTGAGGTTTTGAAACATCTTCCTTTTTATGGTGCAAGGTTGTTAGCCTTGCGACCAACCCCCAACCTGGAGGACCAGGGTACCTGTCTTAGTCTGACTTCTCCCCCTCGACCAATCTGGCTATGGAGGCCCTACCAGTAGCTATGCTATTGCCAGCATAGCTCTTGGGGTCAAGCCCCACCACCATGACAAGGTGCAGGTACCATTAAGTGGGGTTTTATGTGATTGGTAACCTGTATTTGTTACACTTTACAGAAGTCCAGGTGATCGATGTGGACGATTCAAGATGCCTGCTCATAAACCAGCAGTGCCACTGGACAGCGTATTCTCCGAAGTGGAAGCAGATTTTGAGACTTCTTACTTAGATGTAAGTGGAAAGGTTGAATAGAGAATCAGAGAAGTCTGAAAGAAATTTTATGTCCAAGCTGTCTACAGGTCCTTGCTGCTATAGATTGAGGCGTCCATTGCTTGGATATCTGTCACTAACATTTTCCTTTACTAACAAAAATCTTTCTTAACCAAATTGTTTTTGCCAGTAAGTTTTAAAAATTGGGTTTGTTAGAATGGGAGGAACATTTTTCTATGTGTGGGTTCATAGACATAATGACAGAAGACGGCGTCAGATGTGTTATACTCACTGTGGAATATAGTAAAGCCCATTATAATGAGAGTTTACAACTATGGGAATAAATGTCATTACAATGAATTAAACTTTTGGAAAGCTAAAAATTTCCCCCAGAATGAAACATGTTCAGGGGCATGGCTGTATTCTGGGTTACAGTGCTGTGTAATCTGGTAGAAGCTTGCCAACATTTCAGAGGTCCTTACTGCCTTCATCATCAGGATAATGCATACTCTTCACCCTAATAACAGAGGCAGCAAGGACCTCTGAAATGCTGCCAAACTAAAATGCACTGTGAGAACTTGAAATCCTACTAATTAAGTTTACTTCATATTTCCATTTGTAGGGCAATAATTTTAATTATATTTCTATATGTTCTGTAGTGCTGAGTCTTTATCTTACTGACAATTTACACTTGATTCAGAAAGTAAAGACATTTATGCAGTTTTAATAATTGTGGGAATTCTGACTTTGTGAATCGTGGAGCAATCTTGGTGTTTTTATAATGTGGTGGTAATCAAGCTCATGATAACCTATTACCCTTTTCTGACATACAGACCAAATAACTATCAACAGCAGTGAAAATATGAAACGTTTGAATGCAAAAGACAGTGCTAGCTTATATTCTATTTAGCTTGGTTATTTGTTTGTTGCAGGACTCATTCTGTGTGAATGAAGAACCACAGAGTGAGGAGATGGAAGCTTCAGCTCTTGAAGTAGCTGAAGCCATATTAGAAGCAGAGTCTAAATGGAAACGAAGAAGAAGAAGAAAACGTAAGGGGTCAAGCAGTGTTAGTGACGTCAGTGACTGTGGAGAGGGAACTAGTGGAAAAAACGTTAAATCTAATTCAATTAGGAATAATAAACGTTATTGCCGGATAATTACATTGGAGAGTTCAGTTAGTGAGGATTTTCAGGATGTTTCAGAACCTCTGCCCAAAGAATGTACTGAAAGTGGAAATTCAGTCACAGAAACAGAACTAAATTGTCTAGTGTAAATAATCCAGAAACTAAATTTGTTTGCAAGAAATTGGTTAGCCATGAAGCCTTAAGTAACGAGTCTCTGGCAACCAAAGGAAGTGTTTCTAAGACTGAAACGGTGGAAGTAGGTGTTGCAGTTGAATAGGGTTGGAGTGACTGGAATTTTGAAAATTTTAAATTGTCTTCATGTAATGAAGTCTTAAAGAAAGAAAAGAAACATTCATATGTGGCGTTAAAAAAACTGAAGAACACAATTTTAATTCATCTTCAAAAAGAAGGTCAATAGAAGGTGAAGTTTGGTTCAGATGGAGTGGGAATGAATGGAATAGGATTACCAATTTTAACATGTTCAGGACACTGAAGAAAATCAGTTACCAAGGCTGTTTGTTCACTGAATGCAAAATTTGATGAATAAAATATGTTTAATTTACTATCTGAGGGTAGTGAGACAAGACAAGTGACACATGCTGATAATTCTTTGTTATGAAGATTTCTGTCTTGTGGGTTGTTGCGC